CCTCCAAGCCCCTCTATGCCCCGGCGATGCCTCACGACGCCCCCGGAACCTCCTCGCTTCCACCAACCCCCTGGCCCACGTGCCTCTCGCACACCCCCACGTTTCCCACTCGACAGCACTTGCCGGCGTACACGGAAGGTATACGGGCTCGAACACACGACGCACCAGCCACGTTCATCTGGCTCGGAGCTACTTTGCTCCTCCGAAGCTCCGAAGGTTCGTGGGAGGCACGTGGAACGTGGACCGTGTCTACGACACGCGTCTTCTGGACCAGCCTCACCGCGGTAGATACCTACAGCCTCCCTGCTATAGCTCGACCATGGCGTCTCGGCTTCCTCGACCGATCTGTTTCCGCGCGGACGTGGACTTACATGAATGTTGCAGTAGCAGAGGTCATGCATTACGCATGCCGGATAATTCCTGACTTTTGATTGCGTCGCGTCATCATCGCTTTATCGAGACCGTCATTGTCTTCCTCTCGCGTAATCACGGAGTTCGAAGGCCCTACCCCGGCGATAGGGGCCGAGCTTAAGGACCGCAATCGCTATTCGATCGCATCCACGGTTCTTCTTCGACCTCGCATCTTTCCTGGCCGATCCTCCGGCCAAGGACGATGCAGTCTCCAGTCACTTCGCTTATTACTACGTCGATTGCCTTCGGCGAAACTCGAAACTGACGGGGGCCCCGTCATCGGAGGACCTCGGTCCTCAAGCGTTGAGAATTGAACCCGTGACCTCCTGCTAGGAGATCGTAGGATCGATTCGACCGTTACGTCACGGGCTGAACATTCCTTCCTTTACAAGCGAAATCTTTGTTCGCTTCAAATTCACTAGCTGAGTCATAACCTCCAAGTGATCGCGAATCACATGGGCGCGCGTAGCCCGTTAGCTGCCCCTCGCTATTCGCCATCCACTCTCCGGTCAATCTTGACTCTTGACTCTGGGAATGGCAAAACCTTCAGCGATCGGACGTCGCCGCTGATATGCCCGAGGTCGATTTTACGTCTATGTTAAATGCCCATTCACGGCTGTCTATGCCTGTACACGCGTGTACGCGTCTATATGCGCAATGCGCATATGGGACTCGAAGTCTACATGTCTTCCGATATGGGGAACCATCGTGCGGACTAGCGGTACCGTGAGTAAGATAGCGGTACGCTCGTCCAGGTTACGGTAAGCACCGCTAGCTAGCCCACTGAGCCCACTGAGTCGAGTGAATCGAGTGGGTCTGGTTCCTTCGGTTCACTCCGAGCCGAGCAACGGCGTCTTTGTTGCCTCGCTGTAGACTTTCACCTTTTCCACGCTGCCGAGTCCACCGGCGGGCAACGCTCTCACTTGCGTTTTCTTGTAAACGAACAGCCGGTTGCACAGTCAATCGGTTACGCGGTCGTTCGGTCTGTCGGGCAATCGGCCGGTTGGGCTTGGGATTTTGTCGCCTGAGGTTACAGGCTGCGTACGTATTCGACAAGGGGATCAGATGCAAGGATACGGGTGTCGGGGGCGCGAGCCGTGGATAGACGTCGACGTCGGTGGAGGTCGACGTTCTACAGTTATGCTGGAACCGCGTCGGTCGTCTTCGGGGCTCGCGTCATCGTAGTCGTCGTCAGCAAAGACTTCACCTTGTCAGCAAAGACTTCCGATCGCTCGCGTCGGCCAGTCGTTAGCGGCCCGGCGTACTTTTCGACGCGGCACTGTTTTTTCTGCCGGGCTTGCAAATTTTATCGTTTGACGACGCGTCGCTTCCCGGTTAGGGCGAAATATTACGAAAGACACGGGTCAGACGTTTATTTTAAAATCGTGCTTCCGAGTCTGCCCTGGACTGATTCGACGTTTTTTTCTGGTACGATTTTATTAACGATTCTCGGTATAGGCTTAACTCCGGACTGTTACGCGGACTGAAGTCAGCCCTGTTTATTACGCTTTTTCTATGCCGGCTAGAGCCAACTTCAGCTGGTACAAATTCTTTTTAATTCTGCGCGTTCTCGAAGCGGAGCGATTTATGTTCGTTAAGGACGAATATATTTAGACGTTCTTTGATACATGGAGTAATTCGATCCTTAACGGTCCTTGGGAAAAGGCGCGGCCGGCATCGACCGTGACATTACCAATGTATGCACAATTAAACGATTTATCAGGGATTTCGATCGAACTGCCCAACGTGAATAGCTAAAGGATATATCGTTGTAATTGATAGCCGTTCTCATTGTTAGATTAATCAAGTAAAAATGGCATTATCGGTAAGCGTCATCTTGGGCGCAACGGTGCAGCGGAGGTGTTCTACGAGCCATTAAAATTAACTGGGATAATAGCGATATCTTTGCTTCTCGCAGAGTCAACTCTACCGTACATAATCATTTGGCGTTACACCTGAAAGACAGACAAAGGAAGGAATTCGAAAAGAGCCCGGTCAGGTTCCTTTCGAATAACGATCCATCCGGTAATTCTTTCATACTCCTTTTATCGAGGGGCCAACTTCTTACGACTCCCGATACGAGAGAGACCCCCTAAATGTTACATCTCTCATGACTCAACTGCAACCAGCTATTACGTCGGAACAACGACTTTCGCCAACAGGACCTTATTCTTGGTGTTTCTCAAGGGAATGTCGCAGCTGCAACCTGTAACTCTAACTTTCAACTATCTACAATAATATCTCTGGATATACAGGATGATTATATATATCGATGATACATTAAGCACAATCGAATACGCGAAAACGACTCCATCTGCGCGACCACCTACCTAACTATCTTTACGTAGCTTTACGTTCAGCTAGCCGGCTACTCGTGTACTCTCTCGGTTGCTCGTTCGCTCGTTATCAGTCCGGGTGAAAAAACTTTTATCAGCACGAAGCGTTACGCGAGAGACGTGTCCACGAAAACAAGCCGGTCGCCGCGTAAGGAAGGCATTCATACGCATCATACAAGAAGTAAGTTAATTTCCTCATTCGATATATAGAAAAACACATATATCATCAGCAGCCCAAGGGGTGGTTAAATTTTTTCCTCACAGCATAGACGCTGTAGGTATACGCCGCAGGTATGCACCACGGGCATACACCGTATACCTAAAGTGCCGGAACGAGAATTCGTAAAAAGTCAGCATCGTTCCGACCAGTAAAATTCGATCCCAGGGGGACGGAGAGTTCCTCGCACGTGAGCGGCATATCTCATCGAGCAAAAATACACCGTGGGAGCGATGACTCGTGCGTAAAAATATCAAACGCAACTGCGTCGTAGGTGCAGGGGCGGAAGGGTGCGGGGGTGCATCATGTGGGCGCCGATGGAATCAGTAGAGAACAGCATGGCATTGGCAGGGTGAAACGTAGCGCGAGCGAATGGACCAGGAAGAGTCGGAAGCGGCCGTTAGAACTTTTTTTTTGTCTCCCCCCCCCCCCCCAAAGTT